GACCTCAATGAACCCTGTGCTCACACCCCACTAGTCATGAGCTCCACGAAGCAGTTGGATGGCTTAGCATCATAGGTGCACGGTGCCTTCAGTGCATCGAGGGTACTCAATAATATTTGGTGAGTGAATGTTATGCATACACATTTAATTTAATAACAGCCTACTTCCCCCATTTCACTGATGAGGAAATAAGACACAGATAGCTTAAGTTATTTGCTTCAGGTGGCGAAGCCATGACTGGCAAGGCTAGGATCTGGAGGCAAGCTGTTTGGGTATCTAGGAGTGGTCCCTATGGCACACCGTACGCATGCACATCTGTGTACACACTCAATGGTAGAAGCTGCTCCCTGCTTGCACACCTCTGCACATTCTGCAGACTATGGGGACTCAATCAAGCCTGCATCCCTATCCAAACGCTTGTTACTGTGTGCTCTCCGTGAGCATGAACGACTACAAAGGAGTGGGCATACTTCATCCAAGGCCTCCTTCCCTTCCTAGTCCATATGTAGGTTAATTACTTACCCAGTCCAGAGGGTCGCTAAAAAGTCAGTTTATATAAGCAGATGAAGAACACAGCTCTTCAGGCTTCAAGGCCCAAGGGATTAAGATCAGGATGGAAGTCTACTTAATTGAGTAGAGCCCTGCTTCCCTGTAGACCCATCATCATGAAATACGGAAAGCAATCTTTCCTGGATGGCCAGTTCTGGGCCTCGCGCTATGACTACACAGAATTAAAAACAAAACTGTAGACATATAAAAAGCCTTAACAGATGGTGCCTGGCCCCTCTCCTAACGTCCCTTGAACAGAAGAAGAATGTGACAGGGGCACTGGAGTTGACGTCTTCCTCATGACCCATGCCTCATGTAGGCTAGGGGAGTGGCCCAGAGTGAAGAAGCTAGCTTTTCTCACAAACAAGAGAGAAAAGAGTGGGCCATTCCAGAGAAGGATTAAGTGAAGGAAATCTCTGCCTGTCTGTTGGTGGCTTCTTTTTAATTAAGTGGACAATTTAGCCCAGGAATCCATTCGCTCTAAATTGTTGCAGTCTCTTACAGAGAGACTTAGACCATGAATTCATGGCCGGCCTCTGCCAGGCAAAGCACCCCCAGCCCATTTCTTCATTATTCCTCTATCGTCCCCCAGGGTGGGGTTGGATTTACTGCTTCTTTCTTTCTCTGGGAACTTAAAAGTCATTAGGATTAGCCTTCTCCAATCCCTGCACGTTCAATCCCTCTGCCTTTAATCAATTAAGAGAAACAAATGCTAACTGTGAATCGGAAACTACGAACGGGCCCTCCTCCACCTCAGCTGACTTGTAGGACTAAACGAACAATTTGGACCAATCCAACTGGCGTGGATCAACCCAAAGCATCTCCCACGTGCCGGAGGCAAAGCCAGAGAACAGCTAAAGTAGGCCAAAGGCCCAGGAGCCAGTTTCACTAATGGGGACATGGGCTCTAGTATTTGTTTCTCCATGAGTAGTCTAAACACACAATATTTATCATTCTTTCCAGCTGAAATAAGAAAGGAGCTGAGCTGGCCACTCCAGATAGGCCATGAGCTATGGGTTTCAAAAGTCGGAATTCCCACTGTTGCATATGTTTGGTAATGTTTAAGAAGTAGCAAACAGCTGCTGCTCTCACTAACTCACAGCACGAGCACGCATGTGACAACCTCCTTCAGGTGCTGGAGCTGACATCATGTTGAAGTTACTCAATCTCTGGGCTATAGGGCGAGTACCAGGTTTCCAAGCACCAAGTGGGACATAAGCACCCAGGAGAAAGGCTAGAGCAGGGATCTGTCTGTGACACACAAAATATGGCAACTGTATTGATTGGGATGGCAGACTGGCAACTGGTCACAATTGATCACAACTGACCTGCTAGCCAACCTCTCCCTTGCTGCTTTGATGACATCATCAGCCATGCTGGAAAAGCCTAGAGGCCAGGGATTGAGGTACCCCTCCAGCTGACTCAGAAAAGAACAGGGGTCTCTGCTCCAACAGCCCTGCAGAAAATCAGTTCTGTCACAACCATGTGAATGTGGGACCTAATCGGCTTCCCTCCCAAGCCTTTGGATGAGACCCCAACCCTTACAGACACCTTAGCTCTGGAGCAGAAAACTCAATGATGAAGCTACTGATCCCCAGAGGGATCCCCAGAAACTCGGAGACAGTAAGTGGGCAGTAGGAGCTGTGACACCTTGGAGCAGTTTGTCACACTGCTAGCTATCCAACACTGCAGGCCACCTGCCTACCACAGGCTCCTACTAGGCATCCTGCCCTCCCCACTTCACACTCCAGTATTATCACACAGGTCACGATACAGCTGATACCTGCAGCCCCGGACCGATCGCTATCGTAGCTTGCCACTCAACAGCTAAGTACCCAGCAGAGCACCTAGCATGCAGCCAGGGCTCAGTAAGTGCTTTCACTGATGACATATTTGTGTTACACTGAGGACAAGAAAGGACGAAAGCTTTCACCTTCAGTTTCTGGGAGAGGTCATTGTTCCTTAAAAAAAAAAAAAAAAAGCAAGAAGGAAACACAGAGCAGGCCAGTTGAACTTCCTACAAGGTAGAGGTCCACAGCCAGGCCAGAAAGGCAGGTAGAGCAGGTCCTAATTCCAGCTATGAGTCTGAGCCTGGCTAGAATGGCTAGCATGACTGTCCTGATGTTCCAGGGCTCGATTTCCTTGCACTCCTGTCCTCAGAGCTGGAAGCACAATACCAGGAAAGGATACGCTGGGTCTCAATCTCCAGCAAGAAGACATATGTCTCTAAATGTGATATCTCCTCTACTCAGGGTAGTTTTCTCCTTCAATTACCATCCATCCTTGCCTGTATGGCAAACTCCTACTCATCCTTTAAAACCCAGCCCAGGAACAGCTCCTCCAATTGAGTGGTCCTCAGTGCTTGGAAGCTGTCTCTCCCTTTTAGCTGTAGTTGGTAGGACCGAGACAAACAGTAGCAACACATCTGTCTCTCCAGCTAGCCTGGGAGTTCCAGTGGACAGGTACTGAGTGGGGCTGATACACACAGGAGCCAGTCAGACAGCTCAATTCTCATCTGTCCAGAGTGCTTGCCAAAGTCTCGGTTCTCCGGCTTTGAAAGTGGGCACTAGCCGACCTTGTTCAGAATTAAGCAACAGGAAGAACAGTAGGGAGGTGTGTAGTAATGAGAAAGAATGTTCTACCAGAGAACTTGGGCTGAGGTGGCATGAGGGATGGAGGAGAAACAGCTGTCAAAATACCTCAGCGGGTGGTGAGGGTCAGTTTCCTCCAGCCTGTCTTCTGCAGTTACATAATCCTGTCCACAGGAATGTACCCCAGCCCAACTGTTCTAGGACAGAAAACCCTAGCCCACTCCATGAAAAGAGGGTCAACTTCCCATCTAGAAGAGAGAGAGCCTTGGTAACAACATGAATTGGTTGCCCCTTGGTGTGGACCCAGAAGGCTGCCCCAGAGAGATGATCCTCTCTCTGTCCAATCATCTTCTAAAGAGCTGGAAGCCTTTTGGAGCCTCGTGGGGATTTGGAAATCCAGCTCAGGCAATGGGAGAGGCAAGCATATGCTCTTGTGCGGTCATGAGAGAAGCTAGGCTGCATATTTACAAGATTGTACTCAAGGAGGCACACGTGTGGCACACGCACGCATCTGAGAGGAAAGAAGTCTGGAAGGATACGCAAGAACACATAACTAATAGTTCTGTGCATGGGAGATCACACATGGGCCAGTTCCTTTAGAGCTTCTAATGCTATAATTCCCTTTATATTTTTACAATAAGCACAGCAATAGTTAAAGTCGGGTCCAGGAAGCCATGCCATCTGAGGAAGAAGTCAAATGGGCACTTCCTAGGGCTGTGGTAATAAAGTGCTACACAGTACTGCCACATGACAAGAAGCTCTTCATCCATCACTCAGGAAGCTAGCTTTGTGAAAACGTAGGTGTGAACAGAGATGGCTTCTCCTGAAGTTCCATGCCTCTCTCCCAGCTTTTAATAAGTGCACCAATCCTTGGCATCCCTTGGCTTGTGGCCACATCCTTCAATCCCTTCACACAGTAAATACCCTAATCCATCTGCAAAGGCCTAATATACAGATAAAGCTACCAGGACCAAGGATTTCAGCATATCTTACTTGGGGCAGGGGTCATAATTCAACCCCTAGGAAAACATGGGAAATGAGGAACGAAGGGCCGTAGGCACTGTCTGCCAGTGTCAGGTAGCTATCAGAGTTTGACATGATTGCATTGGGTGGTATAGCTTGGGAGAATAAATGGGAGCAAGGTGTGGACAAGACAGTTGATCTCCAGCTAGGAAGCTGAGCTGTTCTGACCTAGATTGGCCATCTTGAGTGGAGACCCCTTGTTCCTGGTGTGACAGTATTTGAAGGGCAAGAGCAGATTGAGTAACATAAAAGTCCTGGCTTTAGGTCCTGGCATAAAGGTCCTGGTGGTGTGTGGTTTACTGTGCACATAACATCACCACCCTGGTACTTTCTGTTCAACTGTACCAGCCTGCTTCATTCAGACCTGGGCAAGCCCTGACCTTATCAGACACAGAGCAACCTGTCAGTCACGTACTCCTTTGGTTTCCAGGGAAGCAGGGTACATGTTCAGAGCTGAGGGAGAGCCACCAACTAAAGCAACAAGGAATTCTGGGAGTTAGAACTCTCAGAGAATCCCAACACCCCAGACACTAAGGATATCCCCAAAACCTAACAGCACTTGTATCCTTCATCATCTTGGTCAGAGCCCTCAGAGGCTAACACCCACAGACCACAGTCAAAACTGCTGAGAGAGTAGGCCACAATTTGTTTAAATGCAGGGAGGATTTCCCTAAGAATAACATTTATGTAAGAAGCAGCAGTAACATCACAAGCTATGCTTGTTTATTCTTCTTCTTAAACAAGCAAATCTTAATCTGCAAAGAGATGGAAGCACTGTGTTCCAGAAAGCCCCTTCTTTTCACCAAAAATGCAAAACATGCCCCCCCTCCCACTCACCTCTCCACAGGATCCCTGAGCATGACAATGAGCCTGGCTTCAGGCTGAAAGGCATGGATGAAGTCTTGGGTCAGGAACGGTGGCTCACCGTCTGTGCTGTTGTCATAGAAGAAGGTCCAGGCATTGTTATCCCACATTGTCGAGGCGCTGGCCTCTCCTGCAAACAGACATAGAGCAGATGCTGGGCCACAGAGTATGGGCTCCCACTGTGAGCCAGAGGCCAAGCCTGGCTCCTGTGCCTTCCTCTTAAATAGCCATGACAGGCAAGCTTATCAACCATTGTTGGCAGATGGGACTCTGAGGTCTGATAAAAGGACAACTGGTCCCCATCCCTGCCAGAGCTACCCCACCCCCAGCTTCTTGCCTCAGAAGGGACAAAAATACAACCTTTATTAACACCTAGGACTTTAATTTCACAATATTTAGCATTGCTGGCAGCTCATAGCTCTGTGGCATTTTAAGGGCCCACTGAGAATCTACTAGAAAGTTTCCTTCAAATTGTGTCAGGAAGAGAAAAGTGTCATTTGTTGAAGCTGACCCTCCAGTGGAAAGCTGGATGCAATTCACATCTATCTTTCCATGGAACCATAACATTTAGTCACGGGGACAATCTCTAGGACCAAATGAGAGGAAGATTTTGCCAAAAGCCCAGGGGTTCTGAGTCTCAACCCCTGCTTCCTAAAATGGCCAGCTGTCTACTGCCCATCCCTCATCTCCTGTTCTTCATACAGCTAGTACATCATGCTGGGTGGATGAACAGGGGCCAACTCTGTTTAATCAGTGTCTGCCCCGACAGGAGGATGAAACTGAAGTAAAGCTTTGGGGAGAGAGGTGAGGCCAAGACCCAGACACTTAAACAACAGACGCTTGGATAATTGAACCAGTTGTTGCTGCTGCTGCTGCTGCTGTTGTGCACGAGTGGGAAGGTGGGGAAAGGACATCTGTATCCCTACGTGCACACATATGTCTACCCGCTCATAAAGACCAGACAAGGAATATCTATCTCCCTTTACTGCTCAACCTTTTTGAATCGGGGTCTCTCACCGAGCCCAGAGATTGCCAATTGCCTCGACAGGCTGTCCAGCAAGCCCTAGGATGCCTCTGCCTCCACTTCCTCAACACTGGGATTATAGAAGTATATAGCCATGCCCAGCTTTCTCATGGTGCCGGAAATCCGAACTCAGGCCCTCATGCTTGTGTAAGTGCTTGCAAATAAGCCATCTTCCCAGCCGAATTTCTCTTGTTCTGTGACTGCAGAAATGTACAAGGAAAGGGACTATGAGGACCCAGGCAGAGGACTTCCGGTTCCCAGGCTTCCATGCCAGCACAGTCCTTCAGGATGAGGAACCCAGTCAGCTCTCCACTTGATTTCTGGACATACACCATGTGCCACATGCCACTCATTCAGGGACAGTCTGAGCTAAATGAGCCTCTCCAGTCAGTGATAAGCACATTATAGTCAAGAGTGAAGGCAGTAGGCTCTGTATCTTCTGCTTAGTTTCCGATCATGTCAGGTGAACACTTCCAACCTAGCCCTCTTTCCTTTCTTAGGGTTTTTTTTAACATAACAAAGAGAGAAAAGACAAGTCAATCAAACATCCTTTGGCAAATCTGCTCCAGATGAAGTAAGCAATAGGAAATGCAAGTGGAGTGTCTGGAAAAAAAATTGCCACAAATTCTGTCAGATCTCAAAAGGGAGCTACTTCTAGAACCATGCAGGCATTGGTCCATCTTCTCGTCTCTTTGTCCACCCAGCCTTCATTCTTGCCCCACATTGTCTAGGCACTGGGATAGATGAGGAAAACAAGACAGGCATAGACTACCTCCTCGAAGAGGAAATCAGAAATTCCAGAAGCCATCAGTTACCAAGTGAGTGGACAAGAATGAGGAACCTTGCAGGCAGAGCCTTTCAGCATCCCCAGCCCCACAGAACCTGGCTGCCTCAGTCATGAGCCCCTGAGTATCTCTCCTGTCAGTAGATGCTGAGAGGATAGACCTCCTCTGGCCAATGGCCCATCACCCAAGGTGATGTGACCCTTTGAACTCTACCAAGGCCTTCATTGGGAGGCAGATCTGAAAAAAGCTGAGTCATATTCCAGGGCTGGGAGAAGCAGGGTCTTGACCTGCTCCAATAATCCCATCTTATAGACCTGTAGAGCAGATGAAAACAAAGGCCTGAGTTATCATGTAGCACAGAGCTGGCTGGTGACACAAGCAGAGCCAGATGCCATCTTGTTATCTGCTTCTCCACACTGCCTGTCACACCAAAAGGCTCTCATAAGACACAGCACCAAGCCTGGCTTGGAGTAAATATCAGCATGGCATTTTTATTTCTTGTTCTTTTTCAAATATAGCAGTAATTCTAATTAGGAACCCAAACAAAGGCTTTCCTCTCTCATTCATTTTCTAAGTCTGTTTCTTGGTTTTGTGGAGAATATTTTTAGCTCTTTCATAGATCCTGAGATTTCCCCTGAGGCATATGGTATGGGAGTCTCAGCAAAATATTAATTAGACTTATTAAATGGGGTATTTGCACCCCTGAGTTTGAAATTAAAAAAAAAAGCTAACAGCCAATTCATAGTGTAGGTGTGAGGGTGGGTAGACTACATTCCCAGTGGATCCCAGAGATTTTACTTATGAATTTTAAGAAAAAAAAATTGATCCTCTGATCAGTCTGGGCTTTGGCAGGAGCCAGAATCTCCTCAGAGTCAGATACAGGGTCCTCAGCCAAGCAGCTGGTCACAATCCATCCTACTCACTGAGAGATTCATCGGATTTAGAGAATCAAAATGTAATGGATCCAGGAACACAAAATAGATCATTGCCTCGGGGAACGAATTTAAGTGAAACATATGATTCAATTTCTCCTTTTCAGAAGGCGTTGGAGATAAACGTCTCATCCCAGGCTGAATCTGATGAAGTGTTCTTTCGGGTGAAATGAGTCTAGCATCCAAAGCCCAGTCAGGCCTGGAGATGGCAATGCCCCACTGTGTGCTGTCATTTGCTGAGGGAGGCTTCAGGTATGCTCGACATTTTAAAGAATGCAAAGGACGAAGGGAGGGTGAAGGAACAAATATGCTAATTTGATTAGCTGCAGTAATCATTCATCACATGTGTGTATCAAAATGTACGTATCTAAATATAAACAACTATCTTTTTTAGATGGGAGGGAGGTTATGTGTGTGTATATGTGAGAGAGACAGAGACAGAGACAGAGAGACAGAGATTGTGTGTGTAGCTCTGGCTGTACTGGAACTCACTCTGTAGACCAGGCTGGCCTTGAACTCAAGAGATCCGCCTGCCTCTGCCTCCCAAGTGCTGGGATTACAGGTGTGCGCCACCACCACCTAGCTTACATTGTTTGCTTCTTTTGTTCAGCTTTGCTCGGTTTTGTTTTGTTGAGGCAGGGTCTTGGTAATGAGCCAAAGCAAGCCTCAAACTCAAGATTCTCCTGCCTCCGTGTCCTGAGCACATGCTGCTCAAAAAACTTCATTCTGAGTGCTCAAAGGCACTTGGGTTACCCAGAGACTCGTCCCAGGGGGTGCAGAGCTCTGCTGAGGCAGAGAGGAGATACTGCCTCCTTCCTGCAACCCTGGCACCCAATCAGTGGCTAATGAGGAAGCTAACTCCAGTCAGGGCATCGTGAGAGGAGGGAAAGCACACCTGCTTAATTTAAGGAAAAACAAAGAAATGGTAGCTCTCTTTAAAAAGCCATTTCAGCCATCCTTGAGTCTGCACAGAATAAGCAAGCTCATTAAATGTTTCTGCTTTATAGTAACAGTATAAATGGTGTGACACTTTTACCTGGGGCTAACAGTGACAACCACAGTAGGAAGGGACTCACCTGCAAACACTGCAGGTAAGACAGAGCTGGCCCCAGAACATGAACCAGGACCCCAAAGAGTCTGCTTCTGCCAGCTCTCCTGAAGCTACCCAGAAGCCATACCTACCAATAATGATCTTATTCATCTTGCTCGGCTGCTCAGCAGAGGCAGCCTGCAGTCCTTGATGGATCTGGTGTGCAGCCAAGTCAAAGAGGTCCAGATAATCTTCCACAGGGTAGCGGTCTCGAAGTCCATCCCTCAGGCGGACAATTCCTACCAGAACCAAAGGTAAGTTACTGAAGACAATGTTGCCACTGATAAGGTCCAGAGAAGGACAGAAAGGTCAAGGAGACCTAACGTTATCAGCAAAAGGTTTGATGCAGGTAAACTTCTCGGGGAGGCCCATAGCTGTGGGATGGAGAAATCTGTCAATGCCTGCCTGTTTCAATGTGTACATACCTCACAGGGAGAAAGACACCAATTACCACTGCCACTGGGTAGTAGCCACTTAAAAGATGCCACATCTACTCAAGAGATAGAAAAGGGATACATAGAGGGCTAGAGTTGAGAACTGCTTAACATTTTCACCAAGAGATTAAAGCAAGCACGCAATGGTGCACCTAGGATTTGGTGGTGTGCCAAATATGGAGAAGAACAAAAGGAAGGCAGCAAGGAAGTAGCATCCCATCACCTCCAAAGTGTCTCTTTCTTCAGTGTCCAACAGGTTCTCTATAGGGATGTATTCCATCAAGCAACCATGGTGAACTGACAGTGTTGTTAGTACCTTCCGTGGACACAGACTCTGGCATAAGCCACACACATCTGAAATTTTCTCCCTGTCTTAAAATAGCTCATAAACATTTCAAAAACATACACTGCCCAGCACCACAGCTACCAAAGTTACTGCAAAACAGAAAGAGAACAGTTCTGGCCAAAATAACAAGAGATTCAAGGTGACATTGAATACGAGCAGCAGAGGTCTGCCCTGTCCTTCCCTCCTTCCTGCCAGGAGAAAGCTGTTTCTCTTTAGGAGAAACACTGGGCGTGGTGGGAAAGCATGCGTTAGACCTTGGCTACTTGGTGGCTACTGTAGCCTGCCTGCCTCCACACCCACATGCAGCCACTCCAGAATGAAGAGCAAAAGGGTGATACTGAACATTTGTCAGGAACAATTTAGTCTAAGGGAAACGTCTAAGATTCTCTTCTAGTGACCTGGGTCCTTTTATGTGGAAACTGCCTTCATGGCCCGCCCAGACTTTGGCAGACAACAGGTCATGTATCACCCATTAGCTTCAGTGACCAAATGTCTCCTGGCAGAAAGAAAAGGTTATGGACAGGAAACAGTGACCGAGGGCCACAGGGTGCCTGGGGCTGGGTGGAACAGAAACCAGCCTGCAAGGAGGGGGAGGGCAGGCGGGGCTCACAGTGAACCTTGTTGACCAGGGGAGAACATATCCCCACTGCATTGTAAACACATGAGGTAGACAGGGCAGGTCATACAGCTGGAGCCTGAAGCTGTGTTCCTCCAGGTGTGCTGGCATCAGTAAAGCAGCCCAGGGCTGAGTGCCAGCCACCCCAGTCCCTGGCATATTTTGAACCCCGCTAAGGTTGAGTGCACACACACACACACCAACTCCACCAGAAGCTTCCATTCTGCACATGACCCCTTGCCCTGCACACATCTAGCATTCAACCAGTGGTCACTAAGTGGGTCTTTGCCTGTGAAGTCCTGTTTGGTTTGAGGTATTCCCCAGAGGCTGATGTGCTGGCTTGGAAAGGCTGGTACCCATGGTGAGATGCTGAGGATCATGGAACCCTTTAACAAGCAGGGTACAATGGAAAACGATTACAGGTGGGGAGCTTTGCCTGGAAAGAGTTTACTGCTATTCTTTTGCAGTGACTATGTTCCTGTGAATGTGGGTTATTATAAAGCCAGGCCCCACCATGAACTTGGCCTCTGCTACATGTGGCTAGTCACCTTTTCCTTTCTCTGCCATCTTGTGATGCAGCCAACAGCCTCTCACCAGGGCATCAGCAACAGACTTTTTGGAACCTTTAGTCCCTAGAATCATGAACCAAATAAACGCTGGCATTTTGTTGTTATAACTGTCTAATGACAAGTGTCATGCCTCTGAATCTCAATATACCTTCTCTCCAACCTTACCATGATGTGCCCTCACCATCCACAATGTGCATCCACAGAATAACTGAGAAAAACATGAGAGCCAACACTCACCAAAGCGCTTCCGGGTCCACCAGTGGGGCTCCTTGATGGCTGAGAATTTCACTTCTGGATGCAGCCGGAGGCGGTCATAGAGGTCAGTGGTCCCACATTTGGGCTGCCCAATGATGTAGAAGTGAGGCAGGCAGCGCAGGCGGAAGTGCTTGCCGCGCACATGGGACAGGTGGCCCCAGAAAGCCTTTCGCAGAGTGTCAAAGGTAGAGCGGAACCGCTTGGAGTAGAGCACGTAGGAATTGGTCAGGTAGGGGTCAGTGGTGTTCCTGCCGGAGAACTCCTCATACCAACAAGGGCTCTTGCTAGTAGGAAGGAATTTTTTGGGGATTACAGAAAACATCTGCAATCAAAGAACAAAGGAGACAGACACAACAGAAGAAAGCAATTAGTAGGAACATTCTGAACTAGGAGTGGTGACCCACATCTGTAATCCCTGCCCTTGGGAAGCAGAAGCAGGTGGGTCTCTGTGAGTTCAAGGCCAGCATGGTCTACAGAGTGAGTTGCAGGACAGCCTAGGCTACATAGAGAGACTCTGTCTCGAAAAACAACAAAATCTAAATGGTGTGTGGCTGGAGAGGTGGCTCCAGAGTTGAGAGTGTATACTGCTCTTCTACAAGATCAGATGTGCTCCCTGTACCCACAGCAGGCAGCTCACAACCACTTGGGATTCCAGCTCCAGGGGATGAGGCTTCTACTCTGGTTTCCAAGGGCAACTGCTCTCACATGAACACACCCCTACACAGGCATACACATGTACACATGGCTAAAAATAAATCTTTAAAAAAATATACTTAATACTGGTGATCTACAAAAGCAACTGGAACCGCCATGACCCCATTCCAGGCAAGGCCCCATATGCACTGATGAGAGGAGATCATCTTTAAGCATCTATAAAGCCATTTGGGACAGCAAATTCCCTCCCTGGTATTTCCACAGCATAAGTACACTGAGCTTTCTCATCCCCCAGGCTGCCGAATTATCCTTGCAGTAAGACATCCAGGAAATGCCTGTCATGTTTCACTTGTGTTCCCAAAGATGGTGGTAGGGAAGGAAGCATCCGTTCTTTAAAAAGTCAATCATCAAGACTGACAGGAGGCTACTCACGTGCAACTCTTGTCTCTTGAGATCTTGTAAGTCCGGGAGCTGCCTGGTTGTGAACTCAATCCTGGCAGCGATGCTGTCGACAATCAGTTTAATGCTCGGATAGTCCTTCACAAAGGAGATGTTATTTACAGAAGGCTGGTAGTGATGCTCTTTCACGTCACTCGGGTTCTCGCTGTCCATCACACTGGGGCTGCTGGGAAAGCCCCCATAGTGGAAAGGGGAGGAAATCAGAAGTTCCTGATGAGCCCCGGAAAGGATGTAAGAAGCCATCACCAAGGTCATTGTTATCAATCCAAAGACCAGGCTACATCGCTTTCCCTTCCTGAAGCGCAAGAACCCACCCCAGTTTTCATTGCCCTCAGTCCTCACTTCGAGAACAGCAAGCAAGTTCATCTGCTTACTGTCCACACGAAACAGAATTTTGTTTTCTCCTTTGCAAGTGGGGCACGCCTGATGACTGTGATGGGGGCCTCCTTGGCAGGCAACTTGCTGTTTGTGTGTGTCTTCGGGGAACAGCTGGATGCAACAATTAATGCAGTGCCTCATGGTAGAGTCCTTGGACAGCTGGCTTAGAGAGCCATGGGCCAGCCCTCGAGGAGTCCGCTGAGAAATTTTAAGGGTGTCCCGTGATGACAGAAGACAATGGGAAGGCACAAGCGACAGAAATGAATGAGGAAGAGAGCAAGACGCACTAGAGAACGAGGCGCATTCTTTGGTTCAGACACAAAGGGCAACAACACAAGAGCGAATTCCAATAGTCTGCTCTGCACCAGCCATGCAACACGGAAGTGACCACAGGTTTGGAGGCGACTCTGCTCGTGCTTCAGGTTTTTCCCATGGCACCAAAGAAAGTTGGAGTGGCATCAGTGGAGAGCATGGAGCCACACTGAAGATGAGGAGACATTATGGGCTCCTGGTTGACAGGTCGACTGGCATGCCTTCAGAATATTTTCTCTTCGTGGGGAGCAGATTCCTACTAGTGCCAGGTGACCTAAACATAAAGAAAGACAAGTTTTGTTGCACTGTGTGGTAACTACGACAGCATAGGAGTTGATTCCCAGAGAAGAGCAGGTGTTTATCTCAACTCTTCCACCTCTCCGTTTCAGCCACACTTATTTGTTCAGAAGCAACTCACAGACCATATAAAATAAATGGAGGTGTTTGGGGCCTTTGTACTTGGGTTTGGGGTTCATTTCTGTCACCAAATGTCCCATGTACCCTCCAGGGCCTCTGCTTTCACATATCTGAGCTATGGCATCCCAGAGTCTCAAGATTGTGTAACTACAGTCAGATTCATGCACAGTCAGTATCGTAGTTAGGTTTCTGCTGCTATGATAAAACACCATGACCAAAAGCAACTTGGGGAGGCAAGGACTATTTAATCTTACATTTTCACATCACAGTACATCACTGAAAGAAGTCAGGTCAGGAACTCAAGGCTGGAACCCAGAGGTAAGGACTGAAGCAGAGACCATGGAGAAAACCCTGCTTACTGGCTTGCTCCTCATGGCTTGCTCAGCCCGTTTTCTTACACAACCCAGGACCAACAGCTGAGGAGTGGTACCACCCAGAGTGAGCTGGGCTTTGTCAGAAAGTGCTCTAAAGGCATGCCTGCAGGCCAGTCTGATGGAGGAGGAGTTTTCACAATTGAGGTTTCTTTTTCCACATAACTTCAGCTTTTGTCAAGTTGAAGAGAGAGGTGGGGTGGGGAGAGGGAGAGAGAGATGACTGAGAGGGAGAGGGAGAGAGGAGCGAAGGATGGAGGGAGGAAGGAAGGGAGGAAAGAAAGAGAACCAAGACCATCAATGACTTCCAATTTGAAGAATGAATCAAAGTACCATTTTTTAACTCTGAATAACGGTAAGGAGGGTGATGGGAAGCAGAGGGAAGCCCAGGGACCCAGGGACCCAGGGACTCAGGCTGCCTCTTCACAGCTTCTGCAGTCCCTCAGCTACAGTTTAGGAAGCAAAAATTAATGAAAATTTTAGCAACAATGATATGATCCTCTTCTTCAGTCAAGTGTATCATTTAAAAAAAAAAACCAACCCATCTGGCTTTAAGTTACTAAGCAATTAAAGCCAGTGTATAGTATTCCCCAGAGCCATGGGACACCTCAGACCCTGAAGTCATTTCTCACTTTCCTCATCCCTGGAAAGACACGATTCTTAAAAATCCATTAACATAATGCCATGGATCTAAAATGTATTTTTTCCCAAATGACACTTCTTTGGAGATGTCATTAAAGGCCAATGGATGAACTAATGAAAGATCTTGACGTGGTTTCTAGCTGCCACAAACGCACACCCACGGACTGTGTGACTTTAATCTCGTCAACGTCTCTGAGTTCTCATTTCCTCAAGGACTGTAAAACTAGAATAATAACAGTTCTTCCTTGTGACTTTTTTAAGGCACGGAATTAATGGGTGTCAAGAGTTTGCATAGGCCCGACATGTGTCTAGTGACCCAGTAAACGAACACAACACAGATAACAGCATCATCACTGGCCACATCATAATCTTTAATGGTCAGCAAGTTCTAAAAACGTATAATATGCAATTCCACATAGGAGACCCTAAGCCACATTCTTTTCCCTTAAGGTGACAATTACCCAAGGGTGGTAGACTCACATCCCATTGTCCTCACACACACCTCAAAGAACCCTCTGTCCCCAGAGAAGTAGCACTAACTAAACCTTCCTTACAGACTCTATATATTGGCCAGAGATCTAAAGTCACAACCCTACAGTAGAAACCTTCATGTCACTTGGATCCAAAGCCTACATTTCCTTGAAATACACTGGCAAAGAATTAGCAAAGTGGCGTTTCTTCCACCCACAGAGTATTCTGTACACTGCCAGCATTTGTACTTAAATATTTAGAGGAGACGTGCACTGGATAAATTCGATACAGTTCATTACAGTGGCACTTTGTGGATTGCTCAGATGCAAACGAAACTTGCGAATCCACAGCTAGGAATATAATAAACAAACATTGCATCGTACAGGACTAGGGAGATGATTCGGTGGATAAAGCATTTGTTACATAAGCGTAATGACCTTAGATCCCCAGAACCCACACTTTAACTCATTTCGTTTTATGGAAGATATGAGGCAGAGGCAAGAGAATTATCAGAAGTTTGTGGGCTGTTTAACCTAGTATATGCAACAGTGAACAGGAGAGACTCTGCCTCAAAGAAGGTGAGAGACCAGGACTGGCATCTGAGATCATCTGACCTCCACATACGTACCATAGTATGTGCCCAAAACTCACTCACACACACACATACACACACACAGAAACACGAACGAGCATGCACACACACACGCATACATGCTTTACAGGGTTGTTCATGGAATTATCACTAAAACCAGGAGGCCAGATTGAGAAGTACTGGTCTGAGGGGCTAAGAGTCAGGCAGAGCCTGGGACACCAGGAGAAGCAGTCTTGAGAATAGGAGGAGACTCCCTGGGACCAAGCTGGGTCCCTCTCCTCCCTGAGGACAGCTGGTAGGGCAAGCCAGGAGCCTCTGCTTCCAGCTTGCTCCTTCACCCCTGACCCACCACTGGGTACAAACAATTTTTCCAAATTAAAGAAACAAAAGGGCAAGATCCCCCGCTTGGAAAACTCCATCCCTGAAGCCAAGAAAACATTTTTTTAATCCACTCATCAAAGACAAGGCCAAGGCAGAGTTAAAATGAGTCTACAAGCAGGGACTCAGTGGGAGGGTGTTCACACTCTTCTGTCTCACTGTTAGTTTTTGTTTTTCATTTTGTTTGTTTGTTTGTTTTTTAAGAATGAAAGGAGGAAAAAAACTAACAAGAACTTTGAAGCCACAGAACAAGAATGTAGAACATCTGAACCCAACAGAATGGGCAAAACATTCCTAACCAAGAGCTAAGCTATCTTATTTCAAGCAAAGTAAATAAATCCCGGGACTGGGGGAGGCTGACAGTCTTAATGGGGGTGGATGGGACGGAAGACAGGCTCAAACACGTTCGGTGTTCCTCTGCCTAGCAGTTGTACCTCCAGTTAGGCAAGCCACTCCAAGATGGGTTTTTTACTCATTAAAGAAAGCACTCCAAAAACACTCTAATGCAGTGTGTTCTCATTTCACTCATTCATTCATTCATTCATTCATTCACTAGTTCAGCACATACTTTCTGAAGACTGTGTGCTGGCACTTCCTAGGGTGGGGACCAGAAGTCAATATAAAATGTTGCATGTAGGTATGTGTGCACAGAGATGTATAGTTGGTATTCTGCCTCATGCCCCAGCACACTACTTGGAATCTTTCTTGGGTGTTAGGAGCTGCTCCATTCAACCACACCTGAGGTTATTTAATGAAGTGACCCTTAGTGGAGGCAGGAGCCACCAGGAGCTTCAAGGATGGAGGTCTTTCAAAAAAAGACCAAGGCTTGATTAAAGTGTAAACTCCCAGGTACAATGAAGAAGAGCTGGAGAACAAACCCTTGGTGATAGATGATGTAAGCTGTCTCCCCTATGTTGTGAGAACTCTGCCCAAACTGAAAACCTCTGGGATCTGATGGCGTCAGGGCTGATGAGCACACAGAGCTGGATGAAGCCAGGAGACTCATGGGTATTCCTCCCTATGCCTGACTGCTGGCCAGTCCTGATTGAATTCTTTGATAAGCTGCTGCTCAGGCTCTTCTGGAGCTCGATTTATTCCTCTGGAAACTTCCGGAAACCACTCAGGAAACTGTGGGAACCTTTGGCTCTGCAGCCAGTTCAGACACAGTGTGGGCGTTAGAAACACTCCTGCTGGGGATCGAAAATGGAGCAATCTCTTGGAAACTCGACCTCAGACTCCAGGCATTTGGTGTTGACCTTGAACGTCGAGACTCCAGGCTGGTGTCGAGAAGTTAAAGCGGTTTGTACAGGGAATACTTTTGGAGGAAGGGGACAGAGTCTTCTTCAAGAAAAAGGTATAAACTGTCTTCCCCAACCCCAAAACCATACAGGCTCTTTATCATATGTGAAGTACATCTCAATAAAGTTGATTAAGACCCATCCCGTGGCCGGGGAATGAGGTGGCTGGTGCCCCCTAAGTGCAGAATGTGGACCTTCATTGCCTCTGGACAAGCCAGTCCCTAAACAGACAAGAAAGGAGCAGAGAGGCCCATGACAGAGGACTCTCCCACCTGAGCTGGTTTTTATTGCACCTTGGCCAGGAATGCTGCAGGCACATCAATCTGTAAAGACGTCACAAGTACACAAGATAACCTCAGGTAACAAATGTCTCAAACAGTGAAACCATTAGACACCACTGTTCAGTGCCACAGTGCAGGGCCAGGCTGGATAATTCCTCAGCACAGGCTGTCTCTGCACTGTAGGACATGCAAGGTCAGCTCTGTCCATGGCCTCTACCGCTAGATGCTAGTAGAACCCATCCTCTGAGACAGGGTAAGCAAAACCAGGTCCAGACACAGGCAAAGGTTCCCCTGGGGACCTATTCTCCCCTAAGTGGAACCTGTCTTAGAGACACAGTGAGCAGAGAGTGACTTCAGAGTTGTATAGAGCAGAGTCTGAGGGACTTGACAGAAGCAGAGCTCCATGGAGATGAAGGAAGCAAGGGAGGGGGAGGCTCTGTGGGAAATCAAAGCCGCTGAGAACCACCTGTTGGTAGATCCTTGGGGACTTGTGCTGGTTTGGAGACGGTATCAACCATACGGGGCTAAGGCAGAGATAAGATTCTATACAGCCTTGAAAACTAGTGTCAAGGGTGATATTGGTCCAAGTACATAAAAAGAGGCATGTTACATATTCTTTCTCAAGGCTCTGCCTAAGCTGTGTAGCTATTAAATAACACAGCTAATGAAAAACAAAATCCAATTCATGTTGGCTGTACTAGAAGGAGAATGGATTGCTATCATACCCCTTAACTGGCTTCTCCCACACACTGCAGATAATCCCAGGGGTAGACACTCAGAAACTTAACACTCAAGTGTTCTTCCCTCAGAAACAGGTAATGCAT